GGCCTGACTCCCCCGGAGTCAATCAATTACCCCAAACCCCCCCCCTCCACAATCGACAACTTTCTTGTTTTCTAGCGTTGAGTTCCTCCGCATCTCCTATTCTATGTTCTAAAGCGTTGAGTTCCTCCGCACCTCCTTTCCTTCCTTCAAGCGTCGAATGCTTCCGCTCTTTCCTCCATCCCCTCCCACTCTCCCCCCACCTCCTCAATATCTTTTACTCCCTACCCCCTTTCCAGCGTCGAGTTTCTCCGCTTCTTTTCTTTTTCAGCGTCGAGTTGCTCCGCTACTATCACTTCCTTCTAGCGTTGTGTATTCCGCTACTCTTACCTTTCCAGTCTAAGCTTAAACTCCCCCGGAGTCCTGCCCAGCCCACCTCCTATAGGAGTCTCCACCACCCCCTCCCTCATTTAGACTCCTGTAGGAGCCTAATCTTTCAGCTCTAACTCCCACGGAGTTACCCCAAGAGCTAAGACTCCCACGGAGTCCCCCCTCCCCTCTCTCTCTCGCCCCGGCCAAATACGCATCTTTCCTACCTTCTAGCGTTGAGTTCCTCCGCATCTCCTGTCCTATATTCCCTAGCGTTGAGTTCCTCCGCATCTCTTTCTCTTCCTTCCAGCGTCGAATGCTTCCGCTCTTTCCTCTCCCCCCTCTTACAACTTCTCTCCTCTCCCCACCCTTAACTCCCAATCCCCCTTTTCAGCGTTGAGTTTCTCCGCTACTTTCTTTCTTCAGCGTTGAGTTTCTCCGCTACTTTACTATTTTCAGCATTGAGTTCCTCCGCTACTCTTTCTATATTTCAAAAACATCACTCACCAATCTGACTCCCAAGGAGTCTTCCCACGTTCTGACTCCCCCGGAGTCCTGCTCAGCCCACCACCTACAGGAGTCTCCACCTCTCCCTCCCTTCCCAGACTCCTGTAGTAGTCCAATCCTACAGCTCTAACTCCCACGGAGTTGACCCAGAGCTCTGATTACCATAGGTTTCTTTTCTTTACCTTTCCAGCGTCGAGTTCCGCCGCATCTCATGCTCTCTTCTTCCCAGCGTTGAGTTCCTCCGCATCCTCTTTACTTCCTTCCAGCGTCGAATGCTTCCGCTCTTCTCTCCACCCCCTCTACAACCCCTCTCCCCTACCCACTACATTCCCCTTTCCCAGCGTTGAGTTCCTCCGCTACTTTTCTTCTTTCAGCGTTGAGTTACTCCGCTACTTTCCTATTTCTAGCACCAAATCCCTCTGCTACTCTCCTTTCTTCCGTTAGGCTCCCCAACCCTGCCTCCCCGAACCCAACTCCAACAGAGTCCCCAGCCTCTCCTAAGAATCAGTTTCAACTTTTCTCCTGCAGTAACCTATCTCACTTCAATTTACATTCAGCAGCCGGATATGGCACTGACCTCTCGCCTTTGGGGGGCACTTCAATACGCGGCTGCTGTCCCGAGATGAAAACCTTTGCCTTTTGGGGAGTTCTCGAGACCTACCTGACCTCGAATTCCCCTCTCGCCCTTCTAACGGGAGGGAGCCCCGGGCTCGAGGATATTACGAGCTCAGGGCTCTCTCCCGGGACAGCATGCCAAATACGCTTTATTGATTATCAGCTAAGTGTGAACTCTTGAAGTGTGGTTTATTCATAAACTAATTTCGAGAGGATCACGTGCTTATAATCAACACGGCTGGCTCCTTGTTAGCTCCGTAATCAGCCCTATTAGATGATTACGGAAGCATTATAAATAACCTGAGTTTTCCACTCCAGTTATCTTCGTCTTGAAGCTCCCCCCCTTCCACCCCTACATCCTCCCACTTTTTCTGATCGGGCGACACGGTGGCCCAGTGGCTAGCACTGTTGCCTCACAGCAAGAACACCGCTAGTCCAACCCATCGGGCTGGTTGGTGTTTCTGTGTGGAGTTTGCATGTTCTCCCCGTGTTCGCGTGGGTTTTCCCCGGGTTCTCCGGTTTCCTCCCACCGTCCAAAAACATAAACCATAGCAATCGACTAAAACAAATTATCACTCAATACAACCTGAGTTTGCACTTCTCACGGTGACAAGCAGGGGAGTTCTCGAGACCTACCTGACCTCGAATTCCCCTCTCGCCCTTCTAACGGGAGGGAGCCCCGGGCTCGAGGATATTACGAGCTCAGGGCTCTCTCCCGGGACAGCATGCCAAATACGCTTTATTGATTATCAGCTAAGTGTGAACTCTTGAAATTCAAAAAAGCGCTGTTCACACAGGCGAGGACGTTACGGAAATTTTCCGGAAAAGAGCATTCACACATCCATTCCAAAATACCGGTAAATTCTGACATCATTCACCACAAATGAGCTTTAAACGGCTGCGCTTGTATTTGTAAACATTTGACTAAATTACAAACTCTGGATGATCAATATTGTGAACAACTTTCGCAGGATCACTTTCGCATGTCGAGATGTTCATAATATGTGCGTGTGCAGGCGCTCACAGGCTGTTTCACAGGCACACGCAAAGCTTGAAGGTAAACAAACAACGGCTTATCATAAGCATCTCATCGATGATTATTTACACAGTTGGCATTAAGAAGAACATATAAACGTTATCTGATTAACTTCTAGCAGCTAAATGTGTCTGGAAAAATATTCAAAGGCTTTTATTCTCACAAACTGCGCGGACGTAAATGCTTCTGACTGTTGTGATTGGCTAAAGCAGACGTCTCACGTCAGCACGTTCTAGACGTGCACGCGCTTATTACGGCAATCTTCCTTCTGCATTCACACAGCGCAGCATTCCGGCAAATTGCCGGTAATGTTACAACTTCTCTTTCCGGAAAATAGCCAGAACGAATTTACCGGTATTTTCAAAAAGGACCTGTTCACACATACAACCATACAGAAAGGTCTGTATGTGTGAAAGGGGCTAATATCTAAAACCAGCATCATATGGACATCAAATACTGATATTTATTCATCAGGTATAGCAAGAGCAAACAAAATCCAATGTTTGTAAAACATCATAGTGGAAATGTCTACACAATGTCAAGCTGTAACATCATTAGACATTAATATTTGGTTGATTTTAGCTTAGACGTTGATCATTGACATTAGCCTAACGTTGGGTTCTGACTTCAATCCGATTTTTATTTTTAAACAAAAAGCAACATCCCCATGACGTTGAGGTACAACATCAATTTGATATGATGCTGACGACCTGTGCATCCTGGGAGTCACACTAAACTTGAGATGAGTTTTCTTGTGTGTCCATGTTTGCCTCATCTTGACTGCACTGCAAAAAAATGCTTTTCTTGCTTAGATTTGTCTTGTTTGTAGTCTAAATATCTAAAATTTCTTATATCAAGAAGCATTTTCTAGACAAGCAAAACATATTGTCTTGTTTTGAGAAATAATATGCCAATATTAAGAGAGTTTTTCCTTAAAAAAATCTAAATAATCTACCAATGGGGTAAGCAAAATAATCTTGTTTTTTCTTTTGATGTAAGATCATTTTGCTTACCCCATTGGCAGATTATTTTGCTTATTTTAAGGAAAAAACTCACTTAATAATGGCATATTATTTCTCAAAACGAGACAATGTGTTTTGCTTGTCTAGAATATTCTTCTTGATTTAGGAATTTTTAGATATTTAGACTAGAAACAAGACAAAAAATCTAAGCAAGAAAAGCAATTTTTGCAGTGTGTCAGTCTGGCATTAAAAGAAGTCTTACAGTATGATATGAAAAAAATTTCATGCAGTATGACAACCTAAGATCATATAGAATAATGAAATGTTGACTACTTTACATTTCTAGGTCAGAGGTCACAAATTAGCCAAAGGAACTTAGCAGTCTTAGGGTGCTTTCACACTTGGTTCATTTGCCTGGACCGTACCCAAGTTCGATTGTCTCCCCTTGCCACCTCCTCGGTTGGTTTGAGTTCACGCTGTCTTTTTTCCTTATGAACCCCGGTACGCTCGCGTCATCGAGCTGCTATTTTGTTTATGGCCGTTGCTTGGTGACGGTCGCAAAAGGAAACTTCCGCACATCGCGGTCATTCTGCTTTAACTGAAGCTTTTGGTTTCAGACATACAGAATGCGACTCCATCTGCCGCAAACATATTATAAACATTTAGAACATCACACAGTGTCTGTAGAAGCTGTTTTTGGAGGAGACAAGCAGACATCACTGTGTATCACTGTGTTTGCCCTGGCTCAGTCCCGCGCGTGTCACCAAGGTACGAAACGTGACACACACACACACAAACACGAATGAATGTTATGAAAACGATAGTTTGTTGTACAGTTGGCTGTTCACTTCCGTGATTTGGTACGATTGCATTCACATCAGAAGTGAACCGTACCAGAGTTCGCATAAACCGTACCCCAGACCACCTCTTTCAGGCGGACTCGGGTACGGTTCACGGGTAGGCACATAAGTTCAGAAGACACGTTCACACTAGCTAAACATACCGTACTATGACGTCAAACGAACCCGTGTGCGGACCAAAAGTGCTAGTGTGAAAGCACCCTTAATGATTCTGCTGTACAAACTGTAAAGCAACGCTCTAACAACACTAAGGTCGTGGGTTTGATGCATGATTGGCTAATACTGTACATATTTTACATCACTAGCCATTATACACATGCAAATTTTGTAATAAATATGGAAAAAACAAACTAAACAACTGATGATCAGGCATAAACAGACTTTTCACTAAAATCACGTGACTCGTTGCTAATTGACAAATGACAAAAAAAAAAAAAGTTCCATCAACAGTTGCAGGTCTCTGTTTCTCAAAGTATTTAGTTTACCCAAAAGAGATTTTCATTTTTGGGGTGAACTGTCCTTTAAAAGGGAATATTTAAACAACATTTTTTGTGGGTATGTTGGAATGGATGACAGGTTGTGGTTTGTGGTTATGTGTCAAATCAAAACTGAAAATGTTGTCAAATTTAGCACTACATAAAAATATGAATGCCTCAAAATGAATGTATTTGTTTGTCACTGACACGTGATTGTAATCAACAAAGTAGAACTAAATCTGCTTACCATTTACTTTGGTAAATATTTATTTTTTGCCAGCATTTACAGGGCTACACTTCTGAAAATTCACTGATGCTGATGTAAAAGTCAATGAAAGTTGGTAAAAATATTATTATATAAAATTTTATGAACGTTGGATGTGGTCATTTCGGTAAATTTTGGATCAATGATGAACATTTTTAATTGATGAACAAGGCTTAAGGGTCTTTCTAGAGAGAATCAGAGTTTGTCTTGTCTGCCTCTCAACATGGCAAAGCTTTTGCACAAGTCGTTCATAGAAGTGACTTTCTTTTTGCTGATTTTGGGGAGGGTGGGTGCAGGTTGTGATGATCCATGCCAAGATGCAGCACTTTTACTCACATCATCAGAACTCAACCCAGACAAACTATGTCTGTTTCTCTGTGTGGAAAATGAGCTGTGGTTTCCTGACTGAGGATGGGGTCGGCTGGGATTGAGTCTTGGGACAGGGAGATCCGGGTGTGCCACTGAGGATCTGGAGAGTTGTGTGCGTGTCTGGGAATCATGAGGTTTTGTTACGCAGTGCTTGAATCCCTGAAGTTGTTCCTTGGCCAAGGTCAGAGCCGCTGTTAGTTCTTCCCTCTCTTCACACTCACGCCTTACTGTTTCTTCAAGAATGGAATTCTAATAGCAAACAGAGAATTGATTAAGGCATGGGAAAAAAAAGAGACACAGATGTCTAAAATTCTTCCAGTGACATCTCCAGGAAAACTTAAATTGGCTGGAAAAACTGGCTAAAGCATACAATGAGGGGGGAAAAACAACACGGGTAACACTTGTGTTCAGAAGACTGTGGCAAAACCATTATAATCAAGACATGATATTTTATGCTTGTTTACATCTGTCAGTAAGTGTTATTCACTCAGTTATGTCATTTTCAAATGCAAAGATGACATTGTGTGAGATATCTTCAAAAACTTGACATTACCAGTACAACAAAACCTAGCTGTCACTGTCTTTGTCATACCAACCTGTCATTACCAAGACAACATAACTTTGTCAGAAATCTGTCATAAAAATGATTGAAACATTATAATTGTGTCATGATAATTTTTATGATCACTTTTGTCAGTGATAAAAACTGAATTTGTCAGTGAAACTTGATATATTTATGTCAAGTTGTCAAAGATGTTGCAACTAATGCCACCTTTGCATTTAAATTTAAAGGGTCCCACATTGACTGTGTGACACATTGCTGAAAACCCAAAAGGGCACATATATTTAATAAAACTTCAAATGTCCCATGTTTCCATTTCCCTGCGATGAGAGCGCAGCTTGCGCATTTACCAACACATGATAAAAATATGTTTGTAAGGAACATTTTTTCTACCCGAGAGCTTTTCGCATCTTCAATTGGTGAAATCCGGATTTGCCACTCATCTTCTTTAAAAAAAAAAAAAGACCCGGTTCCAGTTCATGTTGATTGTCCTGTTTACGGATTTAGTAAGTGTGCGATTAATGTTCATTGTTTATGTTTATTCAGATGGCAAAGTTAGTTAATATTGTCAGCAATACTCTATCATTTTTTAAAGACATACAGTACCTTAGTCAATATTACTTAGTTACTAAGTTTACGGTGGTATCACTACAATATTTTGGACTGAAAGATCCACTGTAAATGCTGCTCCCAACGTAAACATGTAAACACCTTAAATCAAACTATTATCACTATGTAGAGTTTTTGCCGTGTATGATTTTTGCCGCATTTTGTGACAGGATAGTCTGTAAACACTTGGCTGTTTAATGTTATTCTCTGCATCTACCGAGAAATGCAGAGTTTTTTTTTTTTTTCCCATTCGGCATGTGGCATCAAATTCCATGCCGAATAACACTCCGCCTCTTAAAACTACACTCTTCCAGCAGTTCCTGGCATCCAGTATTTTGTTTGTCATTGAGGGCATGCATGAAATATTGCTGAAGGAAAGTGAAAGTGCCAAACTGCAGTTAAAATCAACAAATTAGTGATGAAACACCTGAAATTACATGAAACTCCGGAGGAAATGTGTATAGCGTGGTAACGCAATGATGTTAATCGATCTATTTGCCATAATGTAAAATGGGATCATGAAATAAACATTCAGAAAGCAACACATGTAAACAATCATATTATTGTCTTATTTAGATTAAGGCAAATAATTCCATTACTGATGTCCAATGTAATGTAGTCATGGTCTATCACCATGTGCACGTAATGAAATTCCCTTTTTCATGCAAACCTTTCCCTCTTTCGCCAATCGACTCTCCCCTAAACAAAGCTGGACTCTCCCATTTTCCAGACTTTTTTCAAACTAGAGGTGTAAAAAACATCCTGCTGAGACAGGGAGGGTTTCATGGCCCTTGTCATTAAGCATAAAATCTTATTCCTATTCAGGTAATTTCATAATTATATGTTCGAATTGTCTTATGAACACTCCAAGTTAAGTGTTACCTCAAAAGGGTTACCTGCAACTATTATTTATGTATCCATTTCATCTAATCCATTAAGTGATTTAGATTCTGTAATTGGTCAGGTTTATATTGTCGTTTAATTAATAAGTTAGAAAAAAAGAGAGAGCTAAATGAAAACAGTCTTTTGAAGGTGTATACAATGCTGACCTTAGTCCAGGACATGACCACCAATTGCAAGAAGCCCTGTGAAAGTCTTGAGAAAGGTGTGGTAGAGAAAACAGTGGACATCCCGGTAAGATAGTAGAGGTGTTCATATCTTCAAAAAAAGATCTCAGTCATGAAGGATTTCAGCTATTGATTAAAATAAACTTATTGATGTTGCATAAGAAAGACAAAAGAACACCATAATGAATGCACTTTTACAATTTGATGAATGTTTGCACTATCATCCTGGATTATAGCTATGGGATATGTTTTTCAGCATGGTTAAGAAATAAGAGCTACACACCATATCAAAAGATGTATTGCCAAGCATATACAGTAACAAGCCAAGACATGCTAATGACTGCAATAAAGAGTCAGTAAGTCTCTTATTGTCTGTTCTTCTTCAGTGACATCTACTGGAAATACTGCACAGACGGGTGAGAGAGACATAACCGGCAACTACTATAGTTTTCTCGAATTTACCATGAAAATTGAACATGCTGAGATATGTTGTATTTGCTGGATTTAAAACATATTAAATATATAATAAAATTGATTACTTACTTTACATTAATTAAATGAGTATATCCATGGTATTGAAAGTTACAAATTGACAACTATTAAGTTAACTGACTATGTGGATAATTATAAAATTAAGTTAAATTTTTTTTTTTTTTGAAAGTAACATACACTTATTGCTTTTTTCAGTGTAGGTCACAAGTGTAAAGTATAAATGTAAACACTCACTGGAGGCTATCATACAGTTGAGGACACACGTATAAATTAAACTTTTTTTCAACAAAACAGCCCGTGCAATATTTTATGTGGAAAGTGTTATGTCGGGTACATTTGCTCAGCCTTCACGTGCTTGAAAACCCCATACTGGGAAACTCCATTTGGAATGACTCCAGAGCAGATGGATGCTGACGTAAGCGCAGGAAAATACCCGTGACAGTGAGTGTGTTAGATTCTCACTGCAGATCAGGGAGTTTCCTTTACTAACAAAACAGAAGAATGAGGTCCAGAACCTGCCTCTATGATGTTGCCAGCTACAATCTTCTGGTGAAACATTGCCATCTAGTGGTCAAATAAGTCCAGTACAAAAATTAATTCAACACTTCTCAGATTCCAAACATGCTATATGTGTATATGTATGTATATCTGAAACTGAAGAGTACAATGTAAATTTTGCCGAATCACTGTGCTTTCACTGGGTGACAAGCTGTTATAACACGCTGAAAGCATTATGTAAATAATATATATATATATATATATATATATATATATATATATATATATATATATATATATATATATATATATATATATATATATATATATATATATATATATATATATATATATATATATATATATATATATATATATATATATATATATATATATATATATATATATATATATATATATATATATATATATATATATATATATATATATATATATATATATATATATATATATATATATATATATATATATATATATATAGATATATATATATATATATATATATGTATATATATATATATATATATATATATATATAGATATATATATATATATATATATATATATATATCTATATATATATATATATATATATATATATATACATATACATATATATATATATATATATATATATATATATATAGATA